TAAGTTAAATGGAGAGAAATTCAAAAGCAGTTCCACTAAAATCAGAAATAAGACAAGGCACTCCACTCTCTCCATATCTATTCAATATAGCACTTGAAGTTCTAGCTAGAGCAATCAAGTAACTAAAAGATGTCAAGGGGATACAAATTAGAAAGAAAGAAGTCCACCTTTTTGCTATTTGCATATGATATGATAGTATACATAAGTGACCCCAAACATTCTACCAGGGAACTCCTATAGCTTATAAACACCTTTAGTGAAGTGACTGGATAAAAGATTAACTCAAAATGGACATTTGGGGTGTCTTCATTTCCCAAATTGATCTTAATGTCACTGGATGTTTCTGACTTTGGGCTTATAGCTACCCTAGAGGGCAGGAATTTACATGTAGTTTTCCTTACCTGATATGCACATTAATTCTCCCCTCGGCTATCTGGATGAAATCTTCATGAAATGATTTTAAAGAGGCCTGATAGGCTAACGCACACTGTGGGAAGGCAGGCCCATGACGGTACTACCACCACTACACCGCCTCTCTCTTCATCCACATGGGGTAGAACAGTCAATTGGTGTGTGTGTGTGTGTGTGTGTGTGTGTGTGTGTGTGTGTGTGTGTGAGAGAGAGAGAGAGAGAGAATGTATGTGTGTATACATCCAAACATCATATATGTATATGCATGTTTGTGTGTGTACAGGTGTATGCCATTGCATGTATATGTGTGTGAGTGTGTTTATGGAAGCCAGGAGTCAATGTCGGGTGTCTTTCACAATTGCTGTCCATCTTCTCTTTTGAAACAGGAACTCCCGTTAAGGCTAATGCTCACTGATTGGCTAAATAAGCTGTCCAATAAGCTCTGGAGATCTTCCTGTCTTCGGCCCCCTTCCAGTTCCAGGTTATAGACACATATGACCACACCCAGAGTTTACATGAGTGCTGGAGATTCAAACTCTGGTTTGGGCAGCAGGCACCTTACCCAAGGAGCTAATGCCTCATCCTCAGTGTCTCATTGCTAATGCCTCAATTCTCAGGGATGGCTCTTCTAAAAGATGTCCCTGTGTCCCCATGGTCAGACAAAGATGAACTTGCCAATGCATGATAATTCAACTACAAGCTATAATTTTTAAAAATATCCTCTTATACAGTTCCAGTCAAATGGCTAATGCTTCTCAGAGTGAGCCATGGCCAGACCCAGCAGTGCCCATGGAAACTGTGAAATGCAGGTTCTCAGGCTACAAATCAAGCCTGCTGAGTTGCCAACTCAGTATCTGGGGCTGGGTTCAAGTATCCTGCATGTTAAGAAGCATCCAAAGTTAACCAAAGCTTAGGCATATTTGAGAGTTTTTATTTGAGAACAGACGAATCCTGGGAAAATCTATAGATCAAGGATCAGGTACCTTGGAAGTAATTTGTGTTGTTTTCTGATACAGGGACCTGTAAACATTTAACTCAATCTTTACAAAGGAACAACGGCCTGCATCTCGCAGGACAAGTTCATATGCATGCTCGCAGGCATGTGCAATGAAACGAGTGTTTCATGAAACCATCTATCGCCTTATTACCCGTGATTCATTCTGACAATTTGCACCCTACTCTATTCCATTTCCAAAAACACTGGGCTAAGCCCACTGAATCGATTTTGAAACCCTCTAATGAATCACAACCAGAGTTTGCAAAGCACCAATCTGTAGCAATCAGCTGAAGCAGAAAGCTCAATTGAGGAAGTACAAACTCAGAGAAAGAGAACATAAAACACTGCAAACTCATCGTTAAACAAGGCCGTATATTTAGATATTCTTAAAGTGTTTGCATCTAGCTGGATTTAGAACACTTTAATTACAATAGTGATCTCCAAATGAAGTGAATGTCTTTTAGCCTGATTACAAATCTCATTAGCTTCAACAAACAATTACGGATCTTGGGAGGGCACGGGGGCACTCGGCTCTCTCATGCAGCTAAAGTGAAGGCCTCAGGGACAATCTCCCTTGAGCCGTAGTTTCTTCATCTAGGAAACAGGAGCAATAACAATATCTGTCTCAAAAAGCCAGACACAAAGGGTCAAAGGACCTAGGGACCTGACTTAGCAGGTAAAGTGCTTGCTGCGAAAGCATAGGGACCACAGTGCAGATTCTCAGATGCCATCTGTAGTCCCAGCAAGTGGGAAGCAGACACGGAATCCCAGGAATAAACAGCTAAGCAGATTTTCAGAAACTTCTAGCCCTAATTTCGGTGACGGATCTGCATCTATGTATAAGGCAAAGAGCAACTGGAGAAGATGTTCAACGTCCACCTCAGGTGTCCACATATGTGTGCATATACCCATACATACACATGTGAAAATGCATACACATATGCATAGCACACATACAAGCATGCACCAAAAGTTGCTATATTTATTGAGATCATTCATAAAAATAATAATTGAAAATAAAATGCCACTGAACAAATATTATGACCACCATACAAGAACAGTGAAGATATTAAAAGAAAGCCGCAGGCAGAAGCGTGCATGTGTGTGTCTGTGTGTTATCATAAATACAAATCCAATAATTACTTGGTACTATCTTTCCTTTGATGAACAAACTTGTATTTCCAGGTCTTTAGATTGGCTCTGTCTATGGCTGTCGATGTCGCCTACTTGACTGCCTACTCATCTGCTTCCTTCCTGCTTAGACTTGAATCCACCATTTCTTGCTCAGAGCAATTTTTACCATCTTGTCTCCACAGTTGACTACATCCTCACTCCCAAACCTAACTCTCCCACCACCTGCCACCTACAGCACCAGTATCTTTATGTACTGTGCTCTTTTGTCTTGTGCATACAGACTCTACTTACATGTTTCTCAGCTCACTTCTAAAACCTCTTTTATTCATTCTGTAACCACTATATATGCATATAAATGGATTTACTGCATGCCATATGCTCTGTGATGCTAAAAGTTCATATTAAAAATTAAGATTAAAATAAAGGAACATATATTTACCCCAGTCAGATTACCAAGGTAGACTAGATTATCTGACTAATTGATACTATTAGAACAATAGATACCATGGGGTGGAGAGAGGGCTCAATGTTTAAGAGCACTTTCTGCTCTTGCAGAATACCCATGTCCAATTCCTAGCACTTGTGCAGTAACTTACAACTGCTGTAACTCCTGTCCCAGACGATCTGACACCATCCTCTGAGCACCACAAAATACACATAAATATATGCAGGCAAAATATGTACATATATTGTTAAAATAAATCTTAGCATCATTACCTCATATGAATTTACTGTTTTTTGATAAATTTGAACATTGTGGAAACACACAAAAGTATTAGTCAATGTCTGTGCCATCACATGCTTATGACATGGAGTAACCTGGGGAAGACTTACATGATAAGAGTGCTTAAGCCTTCCAGCCCTTAGACGGAACATTTCCTATAGCATGTTTAAACTAGCCTGCCGTTTCCATAAACCCAAAACTGCGTAACCATCAGCAAATGTCCCAACAACATCCTTTGAGACATGAAAAAAGTGCCAAACCCAATAGGATAAGATTTGCCAATTCTGTGTGCACACTGAAGTCACATGCCTGGACAGACACAACGTTTGTTGGAATAACGCAGTTACCTGCAGTTCAGGGTGCAGCCCCTTCGGGCTTGCCACCACGTTTGCTTACAAAACATTTCTATCCCGATTGCTGGTTTGAGGCAGGTGGAAGACTTTAAAAATGATTTTGTCTAGGAATGGATATTGGCAAAGATGCTTACACCTACCCATTGGGCAGAGAACATGAGTCCTAACCATCTGTGCTCTCCACTGCTGAGCGAGAGGAAAGGAATGGGAATGTCTTAGACCTGAGAGAGTTCTATTTCAATTACTTTCAGGGTATCCAATTATTTTCTTCCATCTGATGATCCACACACACACAGGCCTTTGCCATTTTTAACTCCTATTCCTTTCGTAAACTGGTTAGGTTTTGTGACTTTTCCAGCCGTAAGTAACATGTAAATCAACAGACCTCCTTGCCTCCAATGAAACTTTATTTATGAAAACAGATGTGGTGGGTATGTGGTCTGAGAACAACAGCTGATGACCTTTGTTTCCAGGATGTTTGAAATTTTAATTGTGCCCATTAACACAACTCTGGTAACAGCACGGAGTGACACAGAACATGTTCTCCATCTCAGAAGCTTATTCTGCAACTGCCATCCAATTACCACTTCCCAGAAACTCAAAACAGACAGTCCTGTTTCTATCTAAACCACGGGGGCCTGTTGAGACTCGTGCCGCCACGGAGTGCTATTAAAGCCGCCAAAGCCTCACATATATCAAAGCTATCTACCTGACTTCCCAGCCGCGTCTGCACACTGCAAATGTGGAAGCTCGGCAGTACCACGCTGGCTTCCGCAGTTACGCAGGATGCCATGGCTTATTTGTCTTGCAGGAAAAAGAAAAAAAGAATCCATTCTTGCTGCTTTTGAAGACCTCTATACACTCTGCAGCTGATCAATGAGTTATAGACATATCACCCCAGGCCGAAAGGTTTGGATTAAGTCTTTTCTGTTCAACTGGATGGGTTTAATCAAGGAGCCTGCTTCGGCCACCCCTTCTGGGTGTCCCCTGATGTTGTTAAGTGAATGACGAATGAAAGGCCAAGATGAAAGGGTGAGGACATTTGCTCCACGGCTAGGACCGGAGTATAACTCTCAGACTATCAAGCAGTGGCTGAGGTGGAGCTCGCTGCACAAATCTCACCCTGCACACATGAAAGTCCTGGAGCTGTGGTGCTGAGAGACTGCCCTCAGTTATGAGCTCCCAGAAGCCCATGCTCCGCACCTCTGCTGAGCAGGGCGGTTTATGTCTACTGTCAGACTCATCACCCAGACACAAGCCGTGCCAGACAGGGTGGTCTCCTGGGGAAAGGAGGGTACTGAATTCTCCTATGCACAGCCAACAATGAACTTTCTTAGGGACCCCATGTTAAGGAAAGGAAAACTAAACAGACAGTACTTACTTGGAAGTGTTTTCAAGTATTCCTTTGACTTCATTCATTTCTTCTTTCCCAAAGTAAACAACGGTGAGGTGAACTCTTCCATCCTGCTGGATACACATCTCCCTGGAAAACAAAACACATGTTGTCTGGTCCTGTCTGCACATTTACAGGGGGACACAAACCAACCCCCCTTCCTCCTCCCTTTTCCTCAATTTTTTGGCAAAGTGTAAGGAGACTTAAAGTAAACACAAGACAGAAAGAAGGGCAACTTGATTGGCCACTCAATTTTTATTTATCTTATCAGGAAAACCATTGAATTTAAATTTGCAGATGTGACTAATTAGAGCCAACCTGCTGCTGTAATAGCCCCGCGGGGGGTCTCAGGCTGTCCTGGGGAGGGTTCTGAGAAGTCTCTGGTGTATTAAGACATTGGCTCTGTGTTACATCTGAGAAACCTAATGTCCAGAGAGGGTGAAACAAGAAACCTTGTCTGTGGATGCTTCCCTGGTGTGAGACCAACAACACAGTCTTCATTCCCAAATGGACCACTGCAAACCCTCACTTTTTGGTTCAGGGCCGGGGAAAGCCTTGGAAAGAGCTAGTGTCGGCAGGACTGTCAAGGAATTCCAGCACCCTGTTTGCACCCTGCCCTTCCAGGCAGGTGGAAGAAATCTCACTCCTCAAGAACTAATGAAGTAGACATGTAAACCCTAGGCCTAAAGGTCTGATCGAAAGATTTCTGTACAGCTGGAAGGAGCTAAGACCTGGGGAGAGGATCCTGGGGTCTAGCAGTGTGACGTAACACTGAGCGTCCCCACAGTCCCTGCAGAGAGTCTTTAGTTATTGACAGCAAAATCTCCATACACAGAAACCACTACTGCCCCATCACGCCACTATAATCCCAGCACCTGGAGACTCAGGATCTTGACAAAGTAGCCATTTGGTTCAGCTCTCCCAGGGCCGGGTCTTTGGCTCTTGACTGGTCTAGACTGAATCCCCACCAAAGCCTATGCGTTGCTTGCTGTGTTCTCCTCTTTGAAATATAAGGTCTAGCTGAGCTGCTCACTTCTCTGGAGGGTTTGCTCTTCAAATTACGCGTGTGTAACTGTATGCATGCATACATGCAAATGTAAATATATACACCCATAATCTTTATGTGTACAGGCAGGCATGCCTCAAACATGAGTTTGCCAGTAAGGAGATAACATGAACTGGTGGTTCCTGGGAGGCAACAGGAGATAGATTGCGCCAGTGGGATGGTAGTTTGAGACATCTGGGTATTTCCTGTGCCCTCCTCCCGCTGTTGACATTCATGCAATAATACAAGCCATTGATTCCAGAAATATCTTGGCCTTACTTACAAAGTTCCAAGTATGAGTTTTTTTTTTTTTTTTTTTTTTTTTGTTATAACATCAAAAAGGGAGAACATTCTTGGGGTTGCTGGGAAACATCAGAAACAACAGAAAACATGGTTCCTGCCCTAGAAAAATGGTATTAGCGGATAAAATAAGCTCAGATGACATCATCAGACAAGTGGAACTTGGGGACCATGGCAAGTTCTCAGGCTGTATTGGGACTCGGAAGGGGGAAGGGTTCAGAAAGAAGGAAGAGGCTTGAAGGGAAGGCCACCCTGACACCAAGCAGGGTGCACATAAGTCTCAGCCTGGCTGTAGGTGTGCTTCTGACTGTGCACATAGGTCCCCTTGCCAAGCCTGCCAGACAAATGGAAGTAAATCAAGAACACGGGGCAAGTGCTGGAGAAATTATGCTTTAAAATTGTGTGAGTGTGAGTGTGTGGGGCATGCAGGGGACCCATCCCAGTGTGAGTGTGTGGGGGTGTGCAGGGGACCTATCCCAGTGTGAGTGTGTGGGGTGTGCAGGGGACCTATCCCAGTGTGAGTGTGTGGGGTGTGCAGGGGACCCATCCCAGTGCGAGTGTGTGGGGCGTGCAGGGGACCCATCCCAGTGTGAGTGTGTGGGGTGTGCAGGGGACCCATCCCAGAATCAGGAGCAAGTCACCTGCTGGGCCTGAATCAAAGTCTTCCATGTTTTCAGTAATATCTTTGCCTCTCTCTTTTTGGTATTTTTTCTTTTGTTTTGTTTTATTCTTCTTGAAGTTTACTGATCTAGTTGCTTTTGATTTTTAATTTTTAACACTATTTTTAAATAAAGTTTTTACTTTCTGTGGTTTTAGTGCAGTCTTTAGTTTATTATTTTGAAATTCCTTTTTTAATATTATTTTTTGACTTTCTTTTTTTAGATTTTTTAATTAATTTATTTATTTATTAAAGATTTCTGTCTCTTCCCCGCCACCACCTCCCATTTCCCTCCCTCTCCCCCAATCAAGTCTCCCTCCCTCGTTAGCCCAAAGAGCAATCAGGGTTCCCTGCCCTGTGGGGAGTCCAAGGACCATTTTTATTTTATTTTTTTTTAAAGAAAACAAACTATCTTTTTTTATTTTCATGCCAATCCCAGTTCCCACTGCCTCCCCCGACCCTGCCCCCATTCATTCCTTAGAGGGGGTAAGGTATATATTGCTTTGAGGAAGGTCCAAGGCCCTCCCCACTATATCTAGGCTGAGCAAGGTATTCATCCAAAGAAAATGGGTTCCAAAAAGCCAGTACAAGCAGCAGGAATAAATCTTGGTGCCACTGCCAGTGACCCCTCAGTCTGTCCCAGCCATACAATTGTCACCCACAGTTTGATCCTATGTAATCCCAGCACTCGGGAGGCAGAGACAGATGAATCTCTGTGAGTTCAAAGTTAGCCTGGTCTACAAGATCTAGTTACAGGACAGGCTTCAAAGCTCCAGAGAAACCCTGTCTTGAAAAAAACGAAAGAAAGAAAGAAAGAGAGAGAGAGAGAGAGAGAGAGAGAGAGAGAGAGAGAGAGAGAAAGAAAGAAAGAAAGGCTAGCTTTATTCTTAAATGCTCCTTGGTGTTTTTAAATCAAGGGAGAGGGGTCAGGCCCAAGCCTTCAATGGCCAGGTCAGGGATCTCAGAAAGGCAGATCCAAGCTTGCGCTGGTGCCGGCCTCCAGCTCACCACTGCAGGTGTGTGTGGGTGCTTTTCTTCATTCACCCACAGCATTTGCTGACAATATACCACATGCTAGACTCTCCCAGGGCATCTTAAACAACATGTAGGACTGGCGTGTCTGCCCTTGAAGAAGTCTCCTACCCCCCAGGCCAGACTCAAGTTGCCTACAGTGGAACTGTTCAACGTTCCTTGAGAATATGCGATTGTGCAGATCCCACGACTGCTGTCTGAATGGCTTTTGCTTTTTCTCGATCCTTGCCCATTTGACTACATCACCCTTGAGAGTGTATGGGACTATGTTTGGTTAGATGCCCACATGCAGATATGTCTTCGTTTCAGAAATAAGAGTTAAAAGGAAATCGTAAATGACCGACTCAGCCGCACACAGACTTCTAGCTTTACGAAGTTAACTACTTGTATTTGGACAATGCTGTCTGTATGATTGCCATGATAGGGCCTGCTGCTGTTACATGGGAACTCAAGCCTCATGAGCCCTTCTCAGGGAGCACATTCTGTCCAAAAACGCTTCCCGTTACCTCAACAGGCCCAATTCCTCGGCCTCAAACCAGAAACTGAAAATTCTGTTTCTATATCACTCACACACACACACACACACACACACACACACACACACACACACACACATCATACTTATTAGGAAGCTTTTTTTTTTTATAAAACAGTGTGTTCTTCCCCAGGTCACCATCACGTAGAGTGCACTGGCTGTGGATGCCAGGACTCCAGGGGATTTGATGTAGCACTGGGGATTGGGCACCGACAGTGAGCACAGTGACAGCAGAGGCTCTGAGGCAGCTGCTTCATTTGTCACCAGAAGCAGGGGCATTGCCTTCCTCCGTAACACTTGGTTAGCAGTGCACGCTAAACACCTGTCCTTGCACACTGAGAACACCAGGAAAGACTGGAAGAGTCATGAAACATTAGTGATCTTGTGTTGCGGGAGAGAAAGCAGGAAACTGTGTCAGGAATTTGGGGAATGTCAACCTTTATAGCCCAGGCTGAGTGGCCTGGGAAACCACCATCTGTGGTTTTCATGACAAAAGAATCCATGTGATGGAAGCTTGACTTTCGGTGTCATGATATTAGGAGATTACGTCACGGGGGGCACTGCCACTGAAAGGAGTTACTTTCGGCTTTGTGAGACCTTGGTGTGCTCTGTGTATCACCCAGCCATGGTGATCCAAGCCTATCACTCCAGCATTTGGGAAACACAAGTTCCAAGCCAGATCCTGTCTCAAAAGAAAAAAAAAAGGAAGGCGAAACAAGAGAAATGGAAAGGAGAAAGAGAGGGAAGGAAATGAGAACGGGAATGGGAAGGACAGGGGAAGTGGATAAAGAAGGGGGAGAGGGAGGGAAAGCAAGGAAAGTGCAGGGAAAGGACAAGAGAGAGGAGAAGAGATGAATGGAGGAAGAGGAGGGGAGGGAAGGGGAAGTGGAGGGCATCAGGGGTGAATGAGCTCTACAAGGCTGAGAAGAAGCAGAACACTTTCACAGCCAAGAAAAGGTTTAATCTCATTGCTACTCTTCTAAGTCAGTCTCTACTCAAATCATCAGGAATGGGAAAATCTAGGAGGAACTGGAGTGCTTCGTGCAACAGCAATCCATCAGCCCCCAGTCTACCAGTGCCAACAGGCAGGAAAGGGTTCAGCCATGAAGGAATGGCAACGCTGTAAGGAACAGATTCCGTCCTGGAGAGGGAGGGGAGCGCTTCTGGGCTTCTCTGGCATCTGCTTTTATCATAGCGTTCTGTTTTGGGCTTGGTGCATCCTTGCCCTCATCCCTTTGCCAACGCGAACTAACAGAGAATTCTACTATTCTATTATTTGGCTGTTCTGATCATTGCTAAGGAGTGATGGTGGATTCTGGTCTGTAATCAAGCAAATTTCCCGATTCTCATTGCAATACAGAAAACACAACCACTCTTCCAATGGACCATCTTCTGCTCTCTTGAATAGACATTGCTATACGACCTGTAGCTCAAACTAAACACCTCTTCTATTAAATCCCCGAGGACAATTGTTGAAACAACATGACAGATGAAGTTTTAACATTTCTTAGCTCGTCTTC